ATTTTAGCCTTCCTAAGAGAAGATCCAGTTTTCAATCAACATCAGGGAAAGTAGCAAAGCATCAAGAAAAAGAACTTTCTAGGTGGCATTTAAATAGAGCATGTTATATTCACTAACTGCCCACTTTCCTTTTAACATGTCTACTCAGATGAAAGAAACTCTTCCAACCCTTAACAGACACATAAGCTTTTCAGCAACTGCAGTGATATTTACAGGAGCAGCAGAGAAGCAAAACACACCCATTCAAAAGATGCATGCAGAGCCCTTCTGGCTTCAGCAGAGTTGAGGAAGCCACTCCCCCGAGTGGAGGGACGGACCAGGATGTCAGAGGGTTTAGTTCTTGGTTTGCTTCGGAGGCTTGTGCAGGCTGGCTGGCTTTCACTCAGTAAATCATGGTGTCACCCACTCAGAAGAGGAGCAAATGCAGCACTGACTGAAGTCATAGTGACATACTTCAGCTTCACAAATTCCTCTTCGAGGAATCTAATCTACAGTCAGGAAAGTAATAAAGTCTATTCAAAGTAAACAGCACCAATCCTCTATTATTACAGAAGCTTTGCAACATCAGGTGTCCTTAGTTTCAAAGGGAATTATTGCCTCTCAGACAGAACACATGACATTCAAATCAATAAAGACCACAGAAAGCATGCACACAAAATAAATACAAAATCAAGAATTTCTAACCCCCAAAATGAATATGCAGTACAATTTGTTCCCTTCCAACCAGCTAACATTTTTGTCTCTTTAGATATGACCTTAGCTTGAAGCTAAGAAAGCAAAATAGAGTTACTAAACACTGCAGGTGTTATGTATCCTGTTCTGGGAAAAAAAAAAAAACAGCCCCCCCTACTAAGAGCAGCTTTTTTTTTTAGTGAATTTCTTCAGTGTTTTGAATTTTAAACACACAGAAGTAGTAGGCTTTGTGGTTTGTTTGGGGTTTTTTTTAGTGTGTCACACACTGTAATTTGATTAGTTTTTCCAAATGAATAACACAGTAGCTGCTCATTTTTACAGACAAGTATGAGACAACTAAGGTACAGCCTTGAATATCTAAGCTCAAGAAATGTATTATGGATGATGTTTGAAAGCTTTTTAGACTGCAGCCCAACCTGCATCTATCAATCGTGCAATTCCAGGAAGAAGAGCTGGGGACAGAAAGCCATAGACCAGAGCTACAATCCTGTCACGCTGTGAGAGTGACCAGAAAGCCAGGCTACGTGGCACAGCTGTGCACCACCCCCACATAACTCACATTTCATATTTCTTCTGGGAAAAAGAAAAAAGGCAAACAAAGCAGCTTGACAGGCAACTTAGAACCACACTGCATGAGGGACCAAACCATTTATTGTTTGCACTGCCCAGTAGCGGAGAGAGACACCAGCTGCAGTAGAGTGACTCTTTCCAAAATAGATGTTCTAGGTCAAGCAAGTGCTTCCCACAGCAACAGCACTGAGAAGGGTTGCATGCCCAAACCAGAATTCCTACCTACCGGCAGGACAGGAATACACAAGGCTGGGACAGGGTGCCCACAGGTGAGGTGGTCACACCACACAGTCAGCTGCCCCTCCCCACAGCACAACAGTGGGATGACCCAGGTAGAAGCAGTGAGCCTGCTCACACAGGGCATATATTTTCCACACCAGTTACTACTTCTTCAGGATGAATAAGCCAGGCTTAGTAGCACATACCTTCCTACCTCTAGGTGCCCTTCTTCCCCCTCCTGAGAAGCAGCGAGTAAACAGGGCTGCTCAAAGCCACTTGCTCACCTTTGCAGGTCAAGATGCAGTAGTTCCAGGAGCCCACACTGATGGTCCACTTCAATATCCATTCTCCAGGCAATGTTGGTGCCCCAAAGTACTGCCTCCACACACAGAAGCAGGACAAGGTAGAGAGAAGACCACAGCCAGAGAAGCAGAAATGCCTCCTACCTGTCCAGCCTGCTTTAATTTATAGCTCCTCATTAGTGTAGCGAGGGTCACCTGGACGAGGGCCACCTGCTCCTAGGCCCCAGAGGGAAAGGAAAATACTCCTGGTGTTGGCACTGGGAGCACTTTCTGGGCTGGAGTTTTCAGGGAACAAAGTTTCCTGGGAAGGTTGGGGCAGTTGCTCCCTTCCCTGCTGTGTCAGCAGCGCTTGACCTCTCGTGCTCCCACTTGCTGTGGGCCAGCCGCACGTCCTCCCCCCGAGCAAGGGCAGAGAGTGCTTATAGGGGGACAAAAATGGAGTGCAGGCACCCACTGTGGTGGTTTGACCCTGGCTGGATGCCAGGGGCCCACCAAAGCCACTCTATCACTCCCCTCTTTAACCAGACAGAGGAGTGAAAAGTAAATCAAAGGACTCATGGGTTGAGATAAGGACAGGGAGAGTTCATCTGTCAGTTACCGTCACGGGCAAAACAGACTCAACTTGATAAAATTAATTTAATTTATTATCAATCAAGATCAGAGAAGGAGAGGAGAAAAACTGCTAGATCTTAAAAACCTTCCCCCCACCCCTCCCTTCTTCCTGGGCTCAACTTCTCTCCCAGATTTCTGTACCTACTCCCCCCAGCAGCGCAAGGGGACGGGAATGGGGTTTGGGGTCAGTTCATCACACGTTGTCTCTGCCGCTTCTTCTTCCT